ATGTTAAGGCTCTAAATCTATAAGTTTGTGGAGTGAATATAAATGGTGAATTTTGCTCGAGTAGTGTAGGACATTTCCTTGTTTGTCTAACCTGGTGTCCATTTCCCCTTCATCAGGGCACTCCTATTTTCTCAGGAGTAATGAGTTCTTCCCCACTAGATACAGCCTGGAAGAACTATCATCTCGGGCATCTGACCCAAGGTAGCCCCATTAGATAGTCCCTCCCTTGAGATCTTGAGCAGAGAGAGAAGGACCGTTGGAATAGCATTTTATCTTAATGGCCAAGACTTCATTGAGTGTGCTGTGGATCATTGGAGTTCCTGCTTTTTAGCTGCCTGCTTCAACTATAGTCCTGCTAGTCTATAGCAGGACTATATTTTCTTTTGCTTGCATCCAGAGACCTCTACTTGATGAAAATAAAAACTCATTCAGAAAGGTTACTATCATTTCTCTCTTGGTGTCCTTATATTGTTTCTTTCCACCTTTTCTCTAATCTGACTTCAGTCTTTATCTTTTATTCCTCGAAGTATTTCTTTTTTTGCCTTTTCTGTTCAGATTAGCGGTGCATTCTTCTTTGTTCCATTTTTATCCAATTGAACAAAAAGGAAACTCCTCAATACTCTCGTAGTATCATTAGAGTAGTGTGTGGCACTGGCATTTGGCCAAATTTGGGACATCACTGCTCTGTCAGGATGTGTCTGCTTCTTTGGCAAACCTGCTTGATTGAAATTATAGTTGTCTGACCCACTGATTATCTCAAAAAAGAAACAAATCTGTCAACTTGTATCTATACCATTCCGTAAAAACAGAGTGTGAGGAAAATTCTCTGCCACAGCTTTTCAGTCGGAAATAGAACCTATAGAATGTTTGGTTGGGGATTTGTACTTACCAGTCGCAAAGCACATTCTCTCCAGGAATTCTGACTGCTCATAGCTAAAGATCTAGTCGATTCAGATTCAGCCTCATCTGATTTAGTGGATTGTACTAATGAATAATGGTCTCTTTTGAATGTAAATACTTTTGTGTGAGTCATTGCTAGAATAACTTAGAACATTTATAAATATATTCAGTACTCTGGTACTGATGCTGTAATGGCTTTGTAACTTTAATAAATATGAATTTCCAGAATGTCATATTCTTAGGCAGTACACTTGTCTTTGAAAAGATCCTAAAGAGATTTTTATGAAAAATAACAAAGTAGGGACTTTTTTAAAAAGTTCTTTCTAAATGAACAACAATAAAATTTTTTTGACAGTCTTTTAAGACTCATGTTAAAACTAAGAAAGCTGCCAGCTGTCACAAACTCGAAGAATATAGACAGACACAAGATCAAGTGAAGATCAAGTGAAAAAATGAGTCTTCCAGCCAATAATCAACTCTTTTGCTTGAGGTGATACTAAAATGTTGTCAGAACAAAATAAGAAAAGGAACCGAATCGGAGAGAGAGATGAAGAAAACAAAGAATATTTACTCAGCAACATGGAAGATTTTTTTTGCTATAACTCCTTCACACTGTCAAGGACATTTTGAAAATGTTGGGTGAGGGAGAGCTGTATGAAACAGGGGATAAGACAAGAAGATACAATTAAATAGTTAAGGAAAGATTTTTGAAGATAGATCAGTGATTTAAGAAGCTAAAATTTTAGAGTGGCTGCACAGTTGACACTGTAACACACACACACACACACACACACACACACACACACACACACACACGTCTCCAAGGAATAAAGGTTTAAAAATCATATAGAATGCGGAGCAAAAAGTAAGAAAGAAGTGAAGCTGATAACGGTTGGAGGACGGAAAAACATAATTTTTATGGTCGAAAAAGAAAAGATAAATAGGTGAGAATTGAATGAGTATCACTTTCTGAAGTTGATAGAAGAAATATATTTAAACATTTTATTCAGAGACATAGGTAATCACTACTGAAATAAAGCCAGGCTCTATAATATCCAAATTGCCAGATCAAAAAACAGATATAAAAATCTACAGACCATCTAGTAAAAGAAAGAAAACAGGAATGAAAGCATAACAAACAATAAAGATAAAATCAGATGAAAAATGAGAATATTTATGAAATCCATTTAAATGTATTAAAAACTCAGATTGGGTCAAAAAAACTAAAATTATTCAAAATTTAAATGAAAATTACTGGCAGTGACATTCCAGGGAAATACAAATTGAACTTTGAAAGCGTTGCAATATTATGATCTAGTAGAATTAAATTAAAAATAAAAGTATTGCCTGGGAATGGAACACTTTATAATGCTGAAGGGTACAGTCTGCCCTAAGATGGAACTCTCCTGAGCTAAGTAGTGCATTGAATATTCCACTGAAACATACAAACGAAATCTATAGGAAACAAAAAGGTAATTGACAAAGAAAATATTGTAGCTGTTGTATAGATGTAGATTCATAACTGTTTCTTTGGTCGTATATTCCTGGCACACATCCAGTATAAAGGGGTACTTAAATTTCTTTTTCTAATTTTCTTTCTTTAATTGTCCTTCCTCCTTTATAACTGCTGTATTGTTGCTCTTTGAATATGAGGTATTCAGTCCGTCAAACCTGTCACTCCTTACTCTGCAGACCCATCTCGCGTCCCGTTTTATAAAAATAATGGCCGTAAGGCATAAGTAATCTTACCTTTCTGCCTGCCTTCTTTCACATACTGTGTTGTTTCTTTGCATAGTAGAATAGATGTTTCTTATTCTAACACTAATGCCTGCATTTCCCCTACATTGATGGTGTCACATCATGTCCCATGCTGATTATTAACAGACGGCATCTCTAGCTCAGATCTTTCCTGTGCACACACCCACAGAGCCATCTGCCTCGCGGACACCTATCTCTCTGGAGATGCCCATCAAGCATCTCAAACCTGTCATGCCCCAAATTGAACTCATCACTTTCCTCCCTAATCTTACTCTTCCTGTAGAACTCATTACTTCAGTGAATGAGTCTCCTAGTGAATCCGGGAGACTTCCATTTCTCATACGGGCTGTGGTTGGTGATTGGTGGGAAGTGTAGTGGGTTCACCTGTATTACACATGGGTTGTTTTAGCTACGGACGGAAACATTTTATCATATGACTTCCAAAACCCGCAGCATAATCGTCCTTTTGGCAGTGGAATATTTGGGAGAATCTCCTCTCCTGAGTGACTGCTATCTTCTCCTCCAAATCCATGCCTTTGCCATGATTCTTGGGATAGACAGGCATTTTCTCTTCACTTTGAATATAGGAAGCAACATCTTCCAGTGTTCAAAGAAGACATGAAATCAGAAAAAAAACAAAACAAAACAAACAAACAAACAAAAAACCAGAAGCAAAACCCTGGAAAAAGTAAAAATAATAAGATGGTAAACTCCTGAGACAGGGATTTGGTCCTGGTGGCACTTGGCTGTGGGGAGAGGTGGCAGGGTGTACAAAGGGGCAGGCTAACTGTACTTAAGAAGTTTGGGTCGGGTCTTTATTTGTTGGTAGTGATACTTTCTTTATAAAGCATCTCAGGATTCCTGACTAATAATATAAAGAGAGAAACTCCTTTGTGCTCCCCTAAGGAAAAATAAACTCTAAAATTTCATGGAATTTTAAATTGCCCTATCTTACTCATTAAAGAGTGACAAGAAACCATTGTATCACTATTTTGATTTGTTAGCTTAAGAACATAATTTTTACTCTTGATAGGGTACGGTGATATTTGTCCTGTAGTTTTTCTTCTACTTTTTATTATAACTGTAGTGACAAGTGATTATAGTTATTTGAATCTCTGCTTCTCAGAGGGCTGGGGAATGGATGAGAGAGGGATGGTGGTGGTGTGGTGGTATTGTGCAAGAGAGATTTTTATGTTGATGAAAAGGGAAGTGAATGAGTTACTAAGAATTGTAGTTCTTAAGATCTGAATTGCTTGAGAGTGTTTGAAAACTGTTGAGGCTGGGATGAAGGTTGAAAACCACAGGTTAAGGTTTTGAGAAGAGCCAGGACCAGAAGTATCTGTGCTAGTTACATCCAGCTGCTGAATGAATTTGAGCGGTCATTTGAAAACAGTTTTCTGGTTCTTTAGCACCCATATTGGAAGTGAACTATTAATGCCTTGGGGGAGGCGGGGGGGGGGGCCTACTCCTAGTGCCACAGCATGAAATGATTCACAGCAGCAAGTGTGATACCATTACCGATACTTTAAAAGGAGGGGAAAGCCCTTATTTCTACAGTTAGCCTGTGGAACCAAATTAATGATAAATCTTGGTGTTTAGTGAAGCAGTCTCTTCACTGAATCAGCCTAAAATAAGGACCGCAGAAGAGTCTCCAGCTAAGCTAATCTATTTTAAGGCATTGAAAGATGGGCTATATTTGTACCCTTGAACCAGGTGACTAGTCTAAGTGTGCTAATTCCCAAGTGCATGTCCCTTCCCTCCCATGTCTTCTGTTTGCTAGTTTCTGCCTGCATGTGCATTTGCCTTTTTTTTTTTTTTTTTTTAAGTAGGCTTCACACCCAGCACAGAAGCCCAATGCAGGGATTGCACTCAGGACCCTGAGATCGTGACCTGAGCTGAGGTCAGGAGTCAGACACTTAACTGACTGAGCCACTCAGGTGCCTCTACATTTGCCTCTTTTTAAGGGAGTGGCATTTTCCTCTTCATTCCCTGTGTGTCAGATACCACAACTAGTTGTCTTTGACCAATCAGTATCAAATGTGGATGTTTGTCATAGATAAGGAGGTGGCATATCACTTGTAGGTATTTTGGGTTTTAATGTGTTGAAATGCTAGTAGTTTAAACTGCTATGTAAGCAGAAGCTTTTAAAAAGCAAGCTTTTGAGTGGGGGACAATTTCTAGTAGCTTTCTTAACAGGCCTTTTACCTGTTTCCAGACTCTTGCCAACTGAGTACTGTAATAAAGACAACTGTTTGAACATCCTGTTTTATCTAGAGACAGTGGCCGACAAGATCATTATTTGTTTTAAAATCTTTTTTCTTTTTGTTTATATTTTCTGCTAGATACTAAGGCTAAGACACACCACAGGTGTAACAGCAAAGAAAAATGTTGCAGCCTTAAGACGTGAAACTTACACAGTGGATTTTATTAAAAAGCAGATTGAAGAGTTCAACATAGGAAAGAGACATTTAGCCAACATGATGGGAGAAGATCCAGAAACTTTTACGCAAGAGGATATTGATGTAAGTTCAGTTACTCTGTTGGGAAACTAATTACTGTAGTTTTAACTGTTGAAATTACTTTTCTCCAGCTTGAGTTCTTTAGCTCTGTGTAAATTTTAATCAAACTGTCAGAATAAGGACAAATACCACTATGCGTTGCATGCTGGAACCAAGCTTTCGAAGAGAGAGATGCTACTCTGTATTTCAAACATTATAAAGCAGAGTGAAGTTTAGATTTTAACGAGAAATGGATAACTATTGTTTCAAGGTCCTAGGAGCCACTATGAATGCTTATACACAATTTGGAAACATTTATCCAGTTGTGTAGCCTTAAACTCCACTTTCTTGCAAAATGATGATGGAAATATAGTCAAGTATACAGGAAATTCCATAAGTAAACCTGAGTCAAGTGTTTTTTATTATCTTAACTATACATAAATTTTCAAAGTCAGGGCATGTCCTAAATGATTTGAGAGTTGAGAGTTAGAACTCTATTATTGTTCCACTCTTGAGTTGTTCTAACTCTCATAAAAGTAGTAATGCTACATTTTTGCTAGACATGTCCCAACATAGTTAACAAAGATACTTAAAATTTAACAACTTTGTAACTTGTTCTAAGTTTTTTTTATTCTATTTTGCATTCCATTATAGTTGACATATAGTGTTATATTAGTTTCAGGGGTACAGTATAGTGATTCAACACCATACAACACCCGGTGCTCATCACAAGTGCACTCTTTCATCACTTATTTAACTCCATCCTCCTACCAACCTCCTGTCTGGTAACCATCAGTTTGTTCCTTATAGTTAAGAGTTTGGTTTTTGGTTTGCCTTTCTCTTTGTTTCCTTTGATCATTTTGTTTTGTTTCTTAAATTCCTTATAAATGAAATCATATAGTATTTGTCTTTCTCTGACTGACTTATTTCACATAGCATTATACTCTCTAGCTCCATCCATGCCATTGCAAATGGCAAGATTTCATACTTTTTAATGGCTGAATAATACTCTTCCGTGTGTATGTGTGTATCGTATCTTCTTTATCCATTCATCTATCCATGGGCACTTGTGCTGCTTCCATGATTTGGCTGTTATAGATAATGCTGCTATAAACATAGGGATGTGTGTATCCCTTTGAATTAGCATTTTAGTATTTTCTGGGTAAATACTCAGTTGTGTCATTGCTGGATCATAGGGTAGGTCTATTATAGATAGATAGATAGATAGATAGATAGATAGATAGATAGATAGATAGATATAGATATATAGATATAAATAATTTATCGTGAAGTTAGCTAACATACAGTGTATACAGTATGCTTTTGGTTTCAGGGGCAGATTCCCTTGATTCATCACTTACATACGACACCCAGCGCTCATCCCAACAAGTGCCCTCCTCAATGACCATCACCCATTTCCCCCTCCCCCGCCATTAACCCTCAGTTTGTTCACTGTATTTAAGAGTCTTCTATGGTTTGCCTCCCTCTCTGTTTGAAACTATTTTTCCCCTTCCCTTCCCCCATGGTCTTTTGTTAAGTTTCTCAAGTTCCACATATGAGTGAAAACATATATCTCCCTTTCTCTGACTTCTTTCACATAGCGTAATACCCTCCAGTTCCATCCACGTTGTTGCAAATGGCAGGATTTCATTCCTTCTCATTGCTGAATAATATTCCATTGTGTATATAAACCACATCTTCTTTATCCATTCATCAGTCGATGGACATTTGGGCTCTTTCCATAATTTGGCTGTTGCTGAAAGCACTGCTATAAACATTGGGGTACATGTGCCCCTATGAATCAGCACTCCTGTATCCTTTGGATAAATTCCTAGTAGTGCTATTGCTGGGTCATAGGGTGGTTCTGTTTTTAACTTTTTGAGAAACCTCCATACTGTTTTCCAGAGCGGCTGCACCAGTTTGCATTCCCACCAACAGTACAAGTAGTCTTCTTTTTCTCCACATCCTCTCCCAACACCTGCTGTTTCTTGTGTTGTTGGTTTTAGCAATTCTGACAGGCACGAGGTGATAGATATCTCATTGTAGTTTTGATTTGCATTTCCCTGTTTTCATGTCTGTTGGCCTTCTGGATGTCTTCTTTGGAGGAATGTCTGTTCATGTCTTCTGCCCATTTTTAATCAGATTATTTGCTTTTTGAAAGTTGAATTATAGAAGTTCTTTATTATTTTGGATACTAATGAATCGCAAATATCTCCTCCCATTCCATAGGTTGCCTTTCACTTTGTTATTTCCTTCACTGTGCAGAAGCTTTTATTTTGATATAGCCCCAGTGGTTTATTTTTGCTTTCATTTCCCTTGCCCCAGGAGACATATCTAGAAAAATGTTTCTGTGGCCAATGTCTGAGAAATTACTGCCTGTGCTTGGATCTCTTCTTGGATTTTTATGGTTTCAATTCTCACATTTAGGTCTCTAGTCCATTTTGGGTGTTTCGTTTTAGTTGTTTTGTTATTGTTTTATTTTAAGAGAGAGGGGGCCCAAGTGAGCGAGGGGCAGAAAGTGGGAGAGACAGAGAGAGGGAGAGAGAATCTCATGAGGGAGAGACAGAGAGAGATTAGGAGAGAGGGAGAAGGGCTCACCCAAAGCAGGCTTGTGTTCACCAGAGCAGGACTCATGCTCACCCAAAGTGGGGCTCGAACTCACAAATCGTGAGATCATGACCTGAGCCAAAGTCAAGATGCTTAACCGACTGAGCCACCAAGGCGCCCTTTTAATGCATTTGAATTTATTTTTGTATATGGTGAAAGAAAGTGATCCTTTTGTATGTAGCTGTCCAGTTTTCCCAACGCCATTTGTTGAAGGGACTTTTTCCTATTGGATATTCTTTCCTGCTTTGTTGAAGATTAATTGACCATATAATTGTGAGTTTGTTTCTGGGTTTTCTATTCCATTGATCTGTGTGTCTGTTTTTGTGCCAGTACCATATGATCTTGATCACTACCACTTTGTAATATAATCTGAAGTCTGGAATTGTGAAACCTCCAACTTTGCGTTGCTTTTTTAAACTTGGCTTTGACTATTCAGGGTCTTTTGTGGTTCCTTATACATTTTAGGACTTTTTTGTTCTGTGAAAAATTCTGTTGGTATTTTGATAGGGATTGCATTAAATGTGTAGGTTGTTTTGGGTAGTATAGATATTTTAACAATACTCGTTCTCCCAATCCATGAGCATGGAATGTCTTTCCATTTCTTTGTGTCGTCTTCAATTTCTTTCATCAGTGTTTTATAATTTTCAGAATATAAGTCTTTCACCTCTTTGGTTAGGTTTATTCCTAGGTATCTTATTGTTTTTGGTGCAATTGTAAATGGGACTGTATTAATTTCTCTTTCTGCTGCTTCATTATTAGTGTGTAGAAATGCAGCAGATTCCTGCACATTGATTTTGTATCCTGTGACCTTACTGAATTCATTTATTCTAGTTTTTTGGTGGAGTCTTTAGCGTTTTCTATATGTAGTATCATGTCATCTACAAATAGTGAAAGTTTTACTTTGGATGCCTTTTTTTTTTTTTTTTTTTTTTTCCCTTCCTGTTGTCTAATTGCTGTGGCAATGACTTCTGGTACTATGTTGAATAAAAGTGGTGAGAGTGGACATCCTTGTCTTGTTCCTAACCTTAGGGGGAAAGCTCTCAGTTTTTCCCCATTGAGTAAGATGTTAGCTGTGGGTTTTTCTTTTATGGCCTTTATTATATTGAGGTATATTTCATTTAAACCTACTTTGTTAAGGGCTTTTATCTTGAATGGATGTTATAATTTGTCAAATACTTCTTATGCATCTGCTGAGATGATCCTTTCTGTTATTGATGTGATGTATCACATTGATTGATTTGCAAATATTGAACCACCTTTGCATCCTGGGAATAAACCCCACTTGATTGTGGTGAATGATTTTTTTTTTTTTTTAAGGTATTGTTGCATTCTGTTTGCCAGTATTTTGTTGAGGATTTTTGCATCGGTGTTTATCAGAGATATTTGCCTATAGTTCTCCTTTTTTGTGGTGTCTTTATCTGGTTTTGGTATCAGAGTGATACTCTCTTTATAATGAATTTGGAAATTTTCCTTCTGTTTTTTTGGAATAGTTTGAGTAGAACAGGTCTTAACTCTTCTTTAAATATTTAGTAGAATTTGTCTCTGGAGCCCTCTGGCCCTGGACTTTTTGTTTGTTAGGAGTTTTTTGATTACAGATTCAATCTTCTTGCTGGTAATCAGTCTGCTCAGATTTTCTATTTCCTGTTTCTTCAGTTTTGGGAAGTTATATGTTTCTAGGAATTTTTCCATTTCTTCTAGATTGTCCAATTTGTTGGCATATAGTTTTTCATAATACTCTCTTACAATTGTTTGTATTTCTGTGGCGTTGGTTGTTATTTCTCGTCTTTCATGGGTAATTTTGTTTATCTGAGTTTTTTGTTTTTTGTTTTTTGTTTGTATGTTTGTTTTTGATGAGTCTGGGTAGAGTTTTATCAATTTTGTTGATTTTTTTTCAACAAATCAACTCCTGGTTTCATTGATCTGTTGTTTTTTAGTTTGTATATCATTTATTTCTGCTCTAATCTTTGTCATTTCCTTACTTCTGCTCGTTTGAGGTTGTATTTGTTCTTCATTTTCTAGCTCCTTTAGGTGTAAGAGTAGATTATTTGTGATTTTTCTTGCTTTTGAAGTAGGCCTGTGTTGCTATAAACTTTCCTCTCAGAACAGCTTTTGCTGCATCCTACAGGTTTCAGGCTGTTGTGTTTCATTTTCATTTATTTCCATGTACTGTTTGATTTCTTCCTTGATTTCTTGGTTGACTCATTCAGTGTTTAGTAGCATGTTATTTAACCTCCACTTATTTGTGCTCTTATCATTTTTTTCTTGTGGTTGGTCTCTAAATTTATAGTATTTTGGTCAGAAAAGATGTATGGTATGACTTCGATCCTTTTGAATTTGCTGAAGCTTGTTATGTGGCCTAATATGTGATCTGTTCTGGAGAATGTTCCACATTCACTTGAAAAGAATGTTTATTCTGT